TGTACACATATCAGCTGAAGAGATGAGGTATCGTAGGGTGTACACATATCAGCTGAAGAGATGAGGTATGGTAGGGTGTACACATATCAGCTGAAGAGATGAGGTATCGTAGGGTGTACACATATCAGCTGAAGATGGATACAGGTAAATTATAGGTAAATTGCTAAGCAGATGTGCACGTGAGCAAGTCAGACAGTAAAGCTGACTTATCATCGTTCAGTTGTACAATTTTTGTCTTGGAATTGGAGAGAGCCATAAACGAAACTCTTTGTGGAGTCATTGCGAAGCTCATCTTACTACGTCAAGACTTCTCGTGCATAAAGAAGTCCCGGACCAGATCATGTCTACTGCTTGATAAATGATATTCTAGCTGTTATTATTATTATTTCTTTTCGTAATGTAAAAAAATGATTTCGAAACATGTTATATAGATTACATCTCTTATAAAATTACGTTTATTTTAGAATTGTCTTCCATTTCTCTTGTCCAATGAAAAACTGAACAATGTAATGTAATAGAAAAACGAGTAAAGGTAAAGCTAAACCCCACACAGCATAGTGTTCTATGTGTCGTAGTTTTAGCTGTTTGTGATTATATAACATTTATATTTCAAAACCCTTAAATATATGTTTTGAATTATTTTTATTGCTTGCCATACATACTCACCCTTTCTCGGGGAGTGATTACACGTGAAAGTACATTTTTTTTCTAAAACAGCCTATTTTTTTATGTTTTTTACTGCGACGACGTATAACAACATGTTACTCGTGTAATCTATTACCACGTAAGAGTGCATATACTTTGCAACTAAGACTACTTAATTCTAGCTTCGTTGAACAATAAGATACTACAAAGATAAGCCACGTTAAGAAATTTTATATAATTTATAACAAGATGACGAAATATTTATTCATCGTTAAAATAAATATCTGAAATTAAACAATAATAAATAATTTAAAAGTAAATCTTTGGCACTTTTCTATAATGTTTACAAGACAATAATTACAACATACTGACACTGTTTTACCTAAATATCATGTATAAGCCTTTAAAAAACTGTTTAAGTACTTAACAAATTTTATCCAAGTTGCAGCGTTACAAGCTCGTCTTTCATTATACACTTTATTAATTCTTATCTTTTCATATTGATATTGTAGTTTCTTCAACCATTACTTTGATCTTAACCCATGCCTTGATTATTAGATACTAGTACACACGACAGACATATTCGGAAACTGAAACTTGACGTGAAACATACTTTTTTTTTATTAGAACACTAAGCAGTTGAAGAATTCCTTCTTATGATGATGGTTATTAAGTTTTTGGAAGTCGTTTCTTGAAGATGTGAATGAAAATAAAACTCAGTCTTGAAACAAAAAATCACACGACAAGTTTGATAAGAAACATAACAAAAGATAATTTTAGCACCTGTTTTTGTCAAAACTTACAGAAATTAACAGATTTAAAATTACGTAAATAATAATAATTACACTAGTTTGATACAAAACTTTCACGTAAACAACGCCCTCTTTATTCGTGGCTTTATTATAATTATTTTCCGGTTTTAGAATTGTACAATTCCATTCACATTTTTAAGCCATCGGAATACCTGAAGTAAGATGGATGTCCGATATAATTTCTAAATCATTTCAAATTTTCTGTTTACCGACAGCCAAGTATCGCTTCTGTTAATGGCTCGAATAAAACAAATGTATTTAAATAGAATACGAGAATCAGTGAAGAAACTGGCTGTAAGGTGAAACTGGACACCTAAGTTACAAATGTCTAATAAAGTGCAAACAAAAATTAATTTTATACACAGACAAATAATGTTACAACGTTTTTAACCCGATACTAACAAGCAATGACATTTGTACTTGAATAATATCTAACCGTACAGCTTCCTTCAAGCGGTCGGAACCACAGAGAGACAGCTAATAATGATTTCAGTAGAATATATTGTTTAACTAAACGACAATAAACATCTTATACAGAAACGTTCATACGACATACAACGGTGAAGTAGGACAAACACGAGGAAGCTAATGTTGACCTTCAGCATCTTAGCACATTGGAAGACTTGGATGAGTTGTTGACCAGGTCGTTTTAATCGGTCTACTAAAGGGTTATTTATTACTATTTAATGGAGTATATACATTTTTACACCACACGCTATCTATATATATATATACTTTAAATATGTTAACAATTTAACGCCAAGCTAGAATGTTTGCATTTTAAATAAATTATATTCCCGCTCTATGTAATGATAACAATAGAGCAAAATGACTAGTTTGAGAAAGTTTTTACATCTTAATAATATTCTTTGAGAAGTATATTTTTTTTTTCTTCGGGTCAAGGATGTTTTTTTACCTTTTTGGAAAAGTATGAATTTTCGTAAAAATTAATATGTAAATATTTTAAACTTCTAAAGTATAATAATTGTATCTCTCTCTTTATATGTACAGCATATTTTAGTTACTTAGCTGTCAAAGCCTATTCTTTAAAAATATTTTGTCTCAAGACCTGATTAAGTTTAAACTCAGTAGTGGCGTGTAGTTTTTGGCAGTCACTTGGGGAGTTTCGGTTTTGGGACCCTCTGACAACAAAAAACAAACAAACATTAATCCAAAAGTCACATTCAGAAGAAAGTTTAAAATCAGTAATACAAACCAATGAGGTACAATATAACTCTATTCGAATACAATATTAATTCATTCCAAAGATTTAACACCTGACGTAGCTAAACAAATCGCCATTTTAAAGGTTTTGCCCAAGACGTTCTAGTTCGTCCAACATAAAGTCGATGTCTTCTTTTGTGACCCCTGGGTTGGAGATTATGGCACGGAAAAAGTTGGGCGTATTCCCAAGTGGTTGATAACCAATCATCAAAGTACCACTGTCCATCATTTTCCCTTTCAAAGTGGCAGTTATCTAAAAACATAAAAGTGTAAAGATGAATAACTAAAGGTTACACATTACTACAAGAAATGATGAATTATACATTTTGGGGGCCCTGTGCACTCTGGAAAATTTGGCTCTTTTTCCTTAATGCTAGACAGAACGTATGATATATATACACCCTGTATCACAACAACTTTCTTAATTATTATTCAGAGACACACAAGCACTATTAACCGTGACTCGTTGAACTAACAGATAAGCTGAGAAAGCACTGTGGTCATTCTAAAACATAAAATAACGAATCACATTTATGTGTATTGTTATTTTGGGCCAGTTGTGGCGGTCAAATACACCTGTTTGTAGAATCTTGTTGAGATATTTCTTGTTCTGGTGGTTGGGAGCCCCCTCTGAGCTGGGGGCCCTGTGCAAGTGCACCAACTGCACATTCGTTATTCCGGGCCTATCTGTAAACCATAATAAAAGCATACAGGGAGACAACGAATCCGATAAATAAAACCGTAGCCATCAAAACAAAATTAAATATTTAGAATGGTTGCCACCTATAGGAAAGTTGAAAGTAAACTGATTTAAATATTTATGATTTATATGCAAAGGTTAAGTATTCATATACGGTAGTTCTACCTGTATTGTTAGTTGTTAACAAAGCGCTGGAATCTTATAGGAAAGGTTCCTAATGAAAATTTAAACATCAGGATGTTATCTAGTGGATCAATGACCTTATGAATCTTGTCAGTAATGATGAGGCTATGGCCGCAAAGAAATGCGTTTATCTTAATTACAAATTAATAAAGTTATCCAGACTATTAACTTATGAAAATACTCTGCATATTAAGCTTATTTGTATATACACCATTTTTAATGCGCTCGTACAAAGTCTAAATTATTTATTAATTACGGTCGTTTTGGGGTCTCACAACGTTGTTTTGTTACATCTCGTATCTGATCATGCTACATCTGACCAACACGCATCTGGACACTAGACTTGCCGCCTAGTCTCGTATTGCCACGTTTGACCATCCTACATCTGACGAACACGCATCTGGACACTAGCCTTGTCGTCTAGTTTCCATTGCAAAGGCCCTGTCGTAAGTCTGTTATGTTCAAAGCACTCCACTCCTCCATACAAGCTTTCCATAATCTATCTTATATACGAGGATGACAGTTCCCAGTGCCTCTTTCAATGGTCCGATCACACAGAAATCTAAAGGCACTGCGTAAGACGACTTAACCAGCATGTCTTGCCCCCAGTGGCACAGCAGTATGTCTGCGGACTTACAACGCTAGAAACCGGGCTTTGATACCCATTGTGGGCAAAGCACAGATGGCCCATTGTGTTGCTTTGTGCTTAACTACAAACAAACAAACCAGTATGTCTTCGTAAGCAATAGCATAAATGTTAATTTTATTCACCAGCTGTTTCAAGTATGCGACAGTTGACGAAAATATGATTGGAAGCCTTATATCTTGGTGAACCCATACCTTGATGGCCTTGTTTACAGATCGAGATATTTCTTGACTATGTTGCATACTGCTACCTGCTATATATGCAAATCTTTTGCCACTTTCATTTGTATTCGTTTATTCTCATCCGTTACAAGACTATGCTTATCACAGCTGGGATACTGCTTGTTGTATAAGGGATAGCCCCTTCTTGGAAATTCTAAATCCTCGATCTGAACACATCTTTATGGTCTGAGTGTATCAATATTTTGCGTCGGAAGGGTGCTCCACTCGCAATCTGAGGGTCGTGGGTTCGAATCCCCGTCCCACCAAACATGCTCGCTCT